CTGAGAAGGCCTGCCCCCTGTCTTTCCCCCCCTCGGCGACGACACGCATGGCACCTGCACCTCGCCCCACCTTCCCCCCCCCCCCTCCAGCAGCCAACCCAGCTTCCCCTGCTCGCCCCCCGCTGCCAGCCCAGCTCCTCCTCGGCCCCCAGCCAGCGTGCCTGCCCCGCCCCGCCCCGACCACTTTACTCCGGCACGGCACGGCACCATCACCGCGCCACCGCTTCCCCCGCCCCACGGCCAGCCCCGCTCTTCCTCCTCTTCCCCTTCCTCCTCGTCCTCCTCCTCCTCCTCCTCGCCCCCAGCGACCAGCCCAGTTCCTCCTCGCCTCCGGCAACCAGCCCGGTTCCTCCGCCCCGATCACTGTATTCTGGCCCGGCACGGCGCGGCACCGGCACGGCGCTGTCCTCCGTATCCCTTGTCCTTCTTCTCTCGATCGCCCTCTGTTTTCCCCCCGTTTGGCCCCTTCTGATCCTCCCCGCTTTTCTCATCTGTCTCTCCTTTTATGGGCAAAAGCCGTGGCACGCGTGCCACCTGTTCGCCAGGAGCTGAGCTTGTTCGCCCATCGTTTCGCGAGTGAGCCCATGTAAATAAGGCGACGACGCCGGCCAAATGACAAAAGGGAGTATTATGAGGAGCGTGTCGGCGTGTCCGAGCTCATCGGGGCCAGTGTGTAGCGGGACCTGCTCCTCCTCCTTTCCCCGTCCCTCCTTTCATGTCACCTCTCCCTTTTCCTCGTCCACTCCCTCCCCCACTTCATTGCTCCATCCCCCGCTTTCCTTGCTCCTTCCTGCATCCCCCTCCCTCGCCCTGTCCCCCCTCCCTCCTCGTCGCCTCCCCTCTCGTCCCTCCACCCCTTCCTCGTCCCCCGCCTCCGCCAAGGCTGGACGGCTTCGAGGCGACCCAGACCATCAAGGCCCCACCGCCCCGCCAGGGCGCCTCTGCGGACGGGGGGGGGTCGGACTCCGTGCGCCCAGCCTCCATGTGGCGGCGACCACAGGCGGTGCAGAGTCAGGGGGGGGGGGGGCCTTCTGGAAGGCGGAGGAGAAGGAGGAGGAGGAGGAGGAGGAGGAGGAGGAGGAGGAGGAGGAGGAGGAGGAGGAGGAGGGGAGGAGGAGGAGGAGGAGGAGGAGGAGGAGGAGGAGGAGGAGGAGGAGGAGGAGGAGGAGGAGGAGGAGGAGGAGGAGGAGGAGGGAGGAGGAGGGGGAGGAGGAGGCAGGAGGGAGGAGGGAGGAGGAGGAGGAGGGGGGCGTCACGTTCCGAGGGGGCCGACCCCTTCCCGAGGCGCCTCCCCGCCTCCTCCACGGGGGCCGCGCGGTGGCTTGCACCCCCGGGGGGGAGCCCTCGTCAGCTCCCCGGCCCGCGCGCGGCGGTGCCTCCGCGCCTGCTGGCCGCTCTTGCTCGAGGAGGAGGAGGAGGAGGAGGAGGAGGAGGAGGAGGAGGAGGAGGAGGAGGAGGAGGAGGAGGAGGAGGAGGAGGAGGAGGAGGAGGAGGAGGAGGAGGAGGAGGAGGAGGAGGCCGCGCCGCCGCACCCTGCTGCCTCCCGTTGCCCGCCGCCAGGGGTGGACGGGATTGGGGCCGGCTCGGCGCGCCCAGCGCTCGCGGTCTCCTCGCACCTGCGCTGCCGGGGGCCTCCCGCTCCGTTCCCAGACCTCCTCGAGTCATGAAAAAATCACGACGGGAGGTTTTTCGCTATTTTTGGCCTCTGGGGTCCCTTACCGGGCCTCGGGACCGCAAAAAACGACTCGGGATGAAAATCCGGTCCCGGGGAATGGGCTTGGACCTCTGGGGGTCGCGTCATGAAAAAATCATGATTTCGGGGGTCTGGGTTCTCGGGGCCTGGAGCAGACGGGGGCCAGCACCAGCAGGGGCGGGGGCAGACAACTCTGGCTGTGCCCAGGGTGCTGGCACGAACCCCCACTCGCACCAGCTCCAGCACCAGAGCGAGCCCAAGGAGTGATGAATGATTCAGCCAGCCTTGGGACACCAACACATCGCAACAGGTCGCTCTGGAGCGTTCCGGAGCACTCCCAGAGCATCCTGGAGCGCTCCGACTTGGCCGCACTGCCCCCCCGATGCTTTCCGTCTTTTGCCGCCGTCTTGCCCACAGCTCTCTTGCGCCGTGGCCCTGCTCCGCCTCGTGGCCGCGGGGAGGTGATCATGGCCACGAACCGCATCGACATCCTGGACGAGGCGCTGCTGAGGCCTGGCCGGATCGACCGCAAGGTCGAGTTCCCGAACCCCAACGAGGATCGCGGCGGGGGGCAGCGAGGGAAGGGAGGGGAGGGAGGGACTGAGGGACGGATGGCGGGATGGAGGGCAGGAGGAGGAGGAGGAGGAAGGGCAGGGCGGGGAAGGGAGGAAGGGCGAGGAAGAGCAGGCGAACAAGAAGAGGGGGCACGCAGGAGAAGACGCGGGAGGACGAGGGAGAGAGAGGGCGAAAGGGCGAGGAGGCCGACCTCTCTCCTCGGCTCGCGCCGGCCTCGCTCCCGGCTCGGAGCTGCGCCCTCGCCCGGCAGCGCCGGCGCCACGCCTCCGCTTCGGGGCAGCGCGCTCTCGCCGGAGCGCCGGCCGCATCCCCAGCTCGGAGAGCCTGCTCTCGTCCGTGTCGGCGCCCGCCACCGCGCTCCCGGGAGGAGGAGGGGGAGGAGGAGGAGGAGGAGGAGGAGGAGGAAGGAGGAGGAGGAGGAGGGGAGGGGAGGGGGAGGAGGAGGAGGAGGAGGAGGAGGAGGAGGAGGAGGAGGAGGAGGAGGAGGAGGAGGAGGAGGAGGAGGAGGAGGAGGAGGAGGAGGAGGAGGAGGAGGGGGGGGAGGGGGAGGAGGAGGAGCTGTGCTCTCGCCTCCGCGCTTGCCTCGTTCCCAGCGCAGGAGCCGCGGCAGAGGCGCGGGCAGGAGCAGGTGCGCGAGCAGGGAGGTAGCCGGCGCGCTCCAGAGAGAGAGAGAGAGAGCCTCGCCGTCGAGGGGTGGGAGGAGTGGACATCTTTCACTCGGCGGAGGCGAGCCTGGCCAGTGGATCGCGACGTGAATCGAGACGTGGATGCTTCGGCTCCCCCCCTCCTCCTTCGTCTTCGCCTTCGCCTTCTTCTCCTCCTCCTTCTTCTCCGCCTCCGCCTCCTCCTCATATTCCTCCTCTGCCCTCTCTTCGTACTCCGCATCCCGCTGCAGCTGCTGCTTCTCCCTCTCTTCCCCCGTCTCCCCTTCTCGTCTTTTCTCCTCTCCTTTTCTCTCCTCTCCTCTCCTGTCCTCTCCTTTCCTCTCCTCGTTCTGCTCTCCTCGCATCCCTTTCTCTTCAGTTGTTTTCTCCCTGCACGACCGCCCACTGTGGCTCATTCGAGGCCACGGCTGCTGCGCCTGCCGGCTTCGCCGGTAGACCTGGTAGCCGAAAGTCCAGCTTTGAGGAGACGGATTGTCGTTCTTGACGTCGTCGGCTCAGCCGAAGGCGAGGCGCTTCAGGTCTGAGCAGCAGCCAACAGGGCGTCTGGCCGGCGTGTGTCCCCGGACCAGCGATGCCCGTCCAGCGTGGGCATACTCAGTCCGAGGGAGTTGGCACACATTTATCCCGTTCTGTTCCGAGCCGTATTGGTGAATACTGATGTCTCCAAAGGTGACTTGCGAACTTCTCCTCCTCCTCCTCCTCCTCCTCCCCACCGCTTCTCTTCCTCTTCCTCCTCCGCCCCTCCCTCCTCGTCCCCCTCCCTGCTCTCCCCCCTCGCCGTTTTCTCCTCCCCACCGCCCCCTCCCTCGCCTGCCTCCTCGGCGCTTGCTTGCGGCGCCGAGGACGCGCGCATGGAGATCGTCAAGATCCACTCGCGGAAGATGAACCTGATGCGCGGCATCAACCTGCGGAAGTCGGTATCGTTTAACCGATCCCCATCCCCATCCCCGTCCCCTCCGAGACCCCCACCAAATTACCCCCCCCAGTTGGAGATACACACCTCGAAGCTCGAAGAATACGGCCTATATGTGTATATGTATGTATATATATATATATATATATATATATATATCCATCTAGGGGGGTAAATCGGTTAGTGGGGCCCAGGCCACGCCGCTGTGGATGGGGATCGGTTAAAAGATACTCAGGAAGATCGCCCAGCAGATGAACGGGGCCAGCGGGGCCGAGAGCAAGGCGGTTGGCTTTCTCCCTTCTCCGTCTCCTGGAGCAGCACTGCCCCCCCCCTCCCCCCCAGAGCTCCGACGTTGTGATTTTTTGCACCACTTGACCCTCTCTCGGCGCCCGCTTCTCATCCGCGGCCGTTGTCTGGCAGCCCTGGGGCTGGGCAGGGACCCCTGGAGGTTGAACATCGCCCAGAACTCTGCGTCGCTGTGTTGTCGCGACGGGAGGGAGTTGTGTTCCGGGGGACATCCTCTGGGTGTCTGGCGGCTGCTCGGGGCGATCCCCGCGCCCCCAGCACGCCCTCGGCGGTGCTCAGCGGCCGAAGGGCGCCCGGGGGGCGGGCACCTCCAGAGAAGCCGACGGCAGCGCCCCCCAGAGACGGCCGTCGTATGTATGCACGGCGCGAGGGGGTCGGGGCCCCCAACCCGCGGAGAGGGGGGAGGCGGAGACTGGAGAGAGAGAGAGAGAAAAAACGCAGTACGGCTCGCGCCCGGGCAGGCTGTGCCTCGTTCGCGCACGCTCCTGGAGAGGCTCAGGCCAGACGAGGCTAGGGGGCACCGTGTCTACACATGTGCTCGTGTCGGGGTGATGATGCCGATGCCGATGCCGAGGCTGATGCTGATGCTGATGCTGATGCCCATGATGATGATGCTTATGTTGTCGATGCTTATGCATCTGATGACGATGACGATGATGATGACGATTATTCTGCTGATGATGATGGTGATGATCATGATGACGATGACGATGGGGATGATGATGATGATGATGACAATGATGATGATGATGATGATGATGATGATGATTATGATGATGATGGTGGTGATGATGATGCTGTTGTTGTTGTTGTTGTTGTTGTTGTTGTTGTTGTTGTTATTGTTGTTGTTGTTGTTGTTGTCGTTGTTGCTGTTGATGATGATGATGATGATGATGATGACGAGGGCGATGATTACCATGCTGTTGTTATTGAATTCTCATTTCTGAAGAATAATTATTGTTGAACCCCCCCTTCTGGTGCATACTGTTTTTTCTAAATCAAAGTGTGCCCCTCGACGCTCGCACCCTGTTTTTTGACAGGGAAAGTCTTCCTGCTCAAACTGGGCCCCTGGCCCCCGGGTTACAACAACAACGGCTCCCGCCTGAGACTTCCTTATAATTTAGCCAGGACCCCCGCTCCCGCCCGAGACTTCCTCGCATTTTATTCAGGAATCGCGCTTCCGCTTGGGACTTCCTCACAATTTATTAAGGAATCGCTCTCCCGGCGCTCTGGAGTCGCGCTCTCGCTGGAGACTTGCTTGCAACTTACTGAAGAATGGCCTGACGTTGGAATTTCCTGCAATTTGCCCAAGCGCCGCGCTCCCGACACCCAGGCACCCAGGAGTCGCGCCCGTTGTGGCCCCATGTGCATGCCCTTCGTGGCCCCGCTGTCGCCATTTGTGCCCCCCTCACTGTCCTACGTGGCCCAGTTGCTACCCTCAGTGGCCCCATAGTTGCCTTCTGTGGCCCCGCATTATCTGCACTTCGTGGTCCCCGCTCGTTCGCGCTCCTCGTGGCCCCATACGCATTCCCTTCGTGTCCCCGCTGTCGCCCTTCGTGGCCTACTTCGTGCCCTTCGTGGCCCTGCTGTCGTTCTCTCTCGCTCTCGCTTTTGCTCGTCGTTGCCGTCGTCGTCGTCGTCGCCGTCGTCTTCGACGTCGTCGTCGTCGTCGTCGTCGTGGTCGGTCCTCTGTCCGTCCCTCTTGGAGTCGGGTCGACGGTCCGCGGCCGCCCCGCCGATCAGCGCTGCCGCTGGCCAGGCCGACGGTCCGCGGCCGCCCCGCCGCTTGCCGGGGCCCGGCCTGCAGGGAAGAAGAGTATACCCCCCAAAAGGGGTTCGATCGAAAACGAAGAGGGCGGGTATCGAGGGTTTGGGAAATACGCGTTATTGGACACTCGAGCATATAAGGGCGAACAGTCTTAAAATTATTGTTGTTGTTGTTGTTGCTGTTGTTGCTGTCGTCGTGTCCTCATTTCTGAAGAGTAATCATTGTCTTGCCCCCCTGCCTGGTACGTATTGTATTTTCAATTAAAGTGCTCCCCTCGGGGTTCGCACCCTTTTTTTGCAAGGGAACGCGCGAGGGGTCACCAAATTGCGCCCCTGGCCCCCGACCTAAAACAACAACGGCTCCCGCTTCATTCTTCCTCACAAACTATTCGCAAATCGTGCTCTCGCGCGGGACGTCCTCACAATTTATGCATGAATCGCGCTCTCGCGTGGGACGTCCTCACAATTTATTCAGACGCCGCGCCCTCGACACTCAGGAATCATGCCCTCGCTGTTGAATTTCCAACGATTTATTTGGGAATCGCGCTATCGCTCGAGCTCTCTTCGCGATTCATGCAGTACTCATGCTTCAGAAACGCGCCTTCTGGACCAGGCCGATTGGGCCCGCCTTCCCGACCCGCCCGTTAGGGTCCACCTGCCCTATGGGCCGGCTTTGTTCTGCCACCTGTTTTCTGCTCCTAGCCTTCCCCTCCTCCGTCCTCTCTTCCCCTATTTCACGGCCTGCACCAAATTACACGTGGCAGGTAAGGAAGATATGCACCCAGGGGGGAACGATCGAAAACGAAGGTGGCGGCACCAAGGGTTTGGGATATACGTGTTCAATGGCATGCGAGCATGTAAGAGCGACCAGTCTTAAAATGATAGTTGATGTTGTTGTTACTGTTGTTGTTACTGCTGTTGTTGTTAGTGTTGTTGTCGTTGCTGCTGTTGTTGTCGTCGTCGTTGTTGTCGTGGTTGTGGTTGTGGTTGTGACTGCTGCTGCTGCTGTTGTTGTTGCTGCTGCTGTTGTTGTTGCTGTTGTTGTTGTTGTTGTTGTTGTTGTTGTGGTTGTTGTTGTTGTTGTGGTTGTTGTTGTTGTTGCTGCTGCTGCCGCTGCTGTTGTTGTTGTTGTTGTTGTTGTTGTTGTTGTTGTTGTTGTTGTTGTTGTTGTTGTTGTTGTTGTTGTTGTTGAACATTATTACTTCTAAAGAATAATTATTGTTGGGGCCCCTGGTGCACGACCCCCCCGCCGCGCCTAGGCCGCAGCCACATTTTCATCATTTTCGTGAGGAAGTCTCAGGCAAAACGGGTTGGTCCGGATCCGGTTGTGTTGTTACGATCGGTTTTCCCTTGCAAAAAATAACTAAAGTGGACATTTCTTGTTCTAACATAACCAAACTTCAAGAATCCCTTGCAAAAAATAAGGTAAAGTGGACATTCGCGCGCGCAAGACGAAATCCTTCCAAAACCTTAGTTTTCGTAGCGATTTTAACATAAAAACATCAAAAAACCAATGGTTTTTCAAAAAAAAATGTCAAAATTTCATCCCGCGCGCTCTTGCGGATTCGTAGGAAACCCAACACTTTTTAAACATTTCTGTCAAACGGGCTTTTGCGAGCAACTTTTTCGAACTTCTGCAACAACGGTTGCGCACCTGCCAGGGCCATCATCCCTGTCAAATAATACCATGCGGGACACATTCGTTTTTTCTTCGCGCGCGCACGCCGTCGTCGTCGGCCGCGGGGCCCTGAATAGTAGCCACGGTCGTCCGCATGCCACGAAGTGAAGTGTCCGAACGTCATAGGGCGGGAAGCTGGGTGTGGGTGGTGGCGAAGAGTCGTTTGGAAATTTGGTAGAGCTTGAACCGGCCCCCCCACAAAGTGGGGGTATTGCCCGCCTCCTATGAAAACCCTGGCACTGGTGAGAACGGAGTGTCCCCACGTGCTAGTAATTGTTGTTGTTGTTGTTGTTGTTGTTGTTGTTGTTGTTGTTGTTGTTGTTGTTGTTGTTGTTGTTGTTGTTGTTGATGGACACGTGCGCTGACGACCCGTACCCCCCCCCACACCAACACCAACACCCCAACAGCCCCGTGGGGCCCCTGCGGTGGCCCCGTCGGGGCCCTACGGTGGCGCCACGGGGCTGTTGGGGGTGTGGGTGCTGGTGTCCTATAGGATTCCATAGGGGTTCTATAGGATACTTGGGGACCTTCTACGACTCCATCGGGAACCTGTACGATTCCATGGGAATCCTGTGGAACAGCCATAGGGATCCTGTAGGATTCCATTGGGATCCGATTTGATCACTACCCTCCTTTCTGCTCTGTAAGTGGGTCGTGCGCCTTTCCAGAATTTCTCATACAGGGATTCAAGCACCCTTTTGGGGTGATTTTTCGTTCGGGCCATGTTTGGTTCTAGCAATGGTGCTCCCGCTGCAGCGTCGGCCGCATTTCAGGATCGGCGCTTTGCTCTTGCCGTCCTGACTTGCGCTCTATCTAGTTGAGCCCGGGCAACATTTCCTGGATCCGATTCGTTCTTCGTGATTGCCGTCCACCTCTTTTTCCCTCCTCCGCCTTTCCTTGGTCCCCACCTGTTCTTCCCTCCTCCGCCTGTCCTTGGTCCTCTTGCTCCTTCTTCTGCCGGTGCTCCTCCTCTCTTCATTGTTCTGCCATTCCCCCTGCTCATCCTCCTGCTCGTCCGCCGCTTCCTCCTGCTCCTCCTCCTCTTCGTCCAAAGTTCAGAGCACCCGCCTCTCTGATTGCGTATCGCCCAATGGGGCCATTCCCAGGGTCAAGGTCGTCTGGGACGCCCCAGCCAGCCAGAAACTGGTTCAGCGCAGTGGGACGTGACGGGAGGGGAGGGGTCGGACGTCAGAGGCGGCGCGATCGCACTTGGCTTGGCTTCCCGACTCTACCTCTGCCCCGCCGTCCCGCTCTGGCCCCCCTCTCCTTCTGCTGCCCCCCCCCCTTCACCTCCCCGATGGAGAGGACGGGGGGGGGAGGAGGGACCATGGGGCGGGGGCAGGAAAGGCGCGAGTCACAGAATCACCACTCCTGGGCGGGTGCCATTTCCAAGGGAAGCGACATCCGAAGGGAATGGGAGAGGAGGAGGAAGAGGAGGAGAAGCAGGAGGAGGAGGAGGAGGAGGAGGAGGAGGAGGAGGAGGAGGAGGAGGAGGAGGAGGAGGACGGGGACGAGGAGGAGGAGGCGGAGGAGGAGGAGGAGGAGCAGTAGGAGGAGGAGCAGTAGGAGGAGGAGGGGAGGAGGGGAGGAGGAGGAGGAGGAGGAGGAGGAGGAGGAGGAGGAGGAGCATGAGTTTTTTTTTTTTTTTTTTTTTTTTATGTTTTGGCTTGTTTTGGGTTGTCTCTTTGCTGCTGCCGTTTTTGACCTCGCCCGGCAGGCGGTGTGCACCGAGGCGGGGATGTTCGCGCTGCGCGAGCGGCGGCAGCACGTCACCGAGGACGACTTCCAGATGGCCGTGTCGAAGGCGCCGCCCCGCCCGGGAGCGGCGCCGCCGGCGGCCTCGTCGGCGGCGACGACCTCGACGACGGTCTCGGCGAGGGCCTCGGCGACGACCGCCTCGACGACGGCGACGGCGACGGCGACGGCGACGACGACGACGACGACGACGAGGGGAGCAATCTCGACGAAGGCCTCGACAAAAGCCTCGGCGCCATAGGCCTCTGCGCATCGCCTCTCGCAGGTTCTGTGGGCGTTCTCGACCAGAGCGTTCTTTGGGCGTTCCTTGGGCGTCCTCGACCAGAGCGTCCTGGTGGTGCCGGGATCGTCCCGACAGACCGCTGGGGTCCCGAGCCATGGCCCGAAAGCCAGATACCTCCGCTCGTCGTGCGAAGCTGACGCGGCGGACGATCTTCGGCCGCTCGGAGCCTCTGGGGGTCCCTCACTGGGCCCCAGGGCCGTCAGAAATCATGGCGCCAGCATCGCAGAGCGCATTTCGTTCGGAAAACGGTAGGGTGGGCCTGGGGTGTCCTGGAGAATTTCGTTCTGGACTTCGAGGTGAATTTCGTGCGGATTGTTTGGGGCCAGGTATGAAGACTGAAGACAGTCCACGCGAAATCCACTTCGTTTTTCACTCGCCGTTTCGGGTTTGTGCATGGACAGAAATTCACGCAAAGATCCGCTACAGCACGTCTGCAAGGGTGGCGCGCCGACGACTCAGGAGTAGAAACTGTTCCTGGGGAGGTGGTCCAGGCCCCCAGGGGTCCACGTGACAAAACCACGACGTCGGAACTCCTGGGTTAATACACCACCACCGTGCTCGGCGAGTACCATCTGGATTTCATGGCGGGGGTCATGATATCTCCCCAGATTTCATGGCGCCTCTTCCTGTTATACGTCCCTGGGTCCCCCCCTGGGCCGCGCACATGCCGCTGGCCATGATTTGCGCCCTCCCCCTCTTTGACGCCCCCCTCTTGGCCGCCCCCGAGATTGTGCATATGTCCTCCCAGCCTCGGCCAGGAGGGCGTGTACACCTCGCCAGGGCCAAGGATAATCCTGGCCATGCATGGTAGTGGTTGTCGTGGTGGTGGTGGTGGTGGTGATGGTGGTGGTGGTGGTGGTGGTGGTGGTGGTGGTGTGTGAAGGCCTTCCGCGTAGAGGGGGGGGTGCAAGGGGGTGGTGGGAGTGAGCGAGTGAGGTTCTTCCTCTTCCTACTCCGCCTCCTCCTCCTCCTCCTCCTGTCTTCCTTTCCCAGTCCTCCCCCACCCCCGCAGTCCTCCTCCTCCTCCTCTTCCTCCTCCTCCTCCTCCCATCTTCGTCGTTGTCGTCGTCGTCGTCGTCGTCGTCGTCGTCGTCGTTCTCGTCATTTCGCGTCTTGACGTTCCGGCGTCGTGAGCAGTCTCGGCGGGCATTTCTGTTCCGTCTCGGGCCCCACAGGCCCCAGGAGCCCCGCGGCGCGATCCCAGCTCGAAGCATGCAGCGGCAATGCGTCGTTCGCGACCTCGCACCACGTTTTCGTTTGCTCCTGTCTACGACGTCGGAACTCTGGTATGTATGTATGTATTGTTTGTATGTATGTATGTGCGTATGTATGTATTTTTTGTATGTATGTATGTATGCATGGATGCATGTATGTATGTATGTATCTATTTTTGTATGTATGCACGTATGTATGTATGTATGCATGCATGTATGCATGCATGTATGTATGTATGTATGTATGTATGTGTTTTTGTATGTATGTATGTATGCATGCATGTATGTAGGTATGTATTTTTGTATGTATGTATGTATGTATTTTTCTATGTATGTCTGTATGTATGTATGCATGCATGTATGTATGTATTTTTGTATGTACGTATGTATGTATGTATGCATGCATGCATGTATGTATGTATGTATGTATGTACGTGCTTTTGTATTTATGTATGTATGCATGCATGCATGCATGTATGCATGTATATATATGTATGTATTTTTGTATGTATGTATGTATGCATGTATGTATACATGCATGCATGTATGTATGTATGTATGTATTTTTGTATGTATGTATGTATGTATTTTTGTAGGTACGTATGTATGTATTCACGCATGCATGTATGTATGTATGCATTTTTGTATGTATGTATGTATGCATGTATGTATGTATACATGCATGTATGCATGTATATATGTATGTATTTTTGTATGTATGTATGTATATATGTATGTATGCATGCATGCATGCATGCATGTATGTATGTATGTATGTATTTTTGTATGTATGTATGTGTGTAGATATGTATGTATGCATGCATGTATGTATGCATGCATGCATGCATGTACGTATGTATGTATGTATGTATTTTTGAATGCATGTATGTATCTATGTATGTATGTATTTTTGTTTGTTTGTATGTATGTATGCATGCATGCATGTATGTATGCATGCATGCATGCATGAATGTATTGTTTGTATGTATGTATGTGTGTATGTATGTATTTTTTTGTATGTATGTATGTATGCATGTATGCATGTATGTATGTATGTGTTTTTGTATGTATGTATGTATGCATGCATGTATGTAGGTATGTATTTTTGTATGTATGTATGTATTTTTCTATGTATGTCTGTATGTATGTATGCATGCATGTATGTATGTATTTTTGTATGTACGTATGTATGTATGTATGTATGCATGCATGCATGCATGTGTGTATGTATGTATGTATGTACGTGCTTTTGTATTTATGTATGTATGCATGCATGCATGCATGCATGTATGCATGTATATATGTATGTATTTTTGTATGTGTGTATGTATGCATGTATGTATACATGCATGCATGTATGTATGTATGTATGTATGTATTTTTGTATGTATGTATGTATGCATTTTTGTATGTATGTATGCATGTATGTATGCATGCATGCATGCATGTATGCATGCATGCATGCATGCATGCATGTATGTATGTATTTTTGTATGTATGTATGTATGTATGTATTTGTTTGCATGTATGTATGCATGCATGCATGTATGTGTGTATGTATGCATGTATGTATGTATGCATGCATGTATGTATGTATGTTTTTGTTTGTATGTATGTATGTATGCATGCATGCATGTATGTATGTGTGTACGTATGTTTTGTATGTATGTATGTATGCATGCATGCATGCATGCATGGATGGATGTATGTATGTATATATTTTGTATGTATGTATGTATGCATGTATGCATGTATGTATGTATGCATGCATGCATGCATGTATGTATGCATGCATGCATGCATGCATGTATATATGTATGTATGTATATATTTTTGTATGTATGCATTCATGCATGCATGCATGCATGCATGCATGTATGTATGTATGTATGCATGTGTGTATGTACGTATATGTTTTTTTTGTATGTGCGTATGTGTGTATGCATGCATGCATGTATGCATGCATGCATGGATGCATGCACGTATGTTTGTATGTATGTATGTATGTATGTATGCATGTGTGCATCTATGTATGTATGCATGTATGTATGTATGTATGTATGTATGTATTTTTGTATATATGTAGGTATGTATGCATGCATGCATGCATGCATGCATGCATGTATGTATGTATGCATGTATGTATGTATGTATGTATGTATGTATGTATGTATGTATATATGTATGTATACATGTATGCATGTATGTATGTATGTATGCATGCATGCATGTATGTGTGTATTTGTGTATGTGTGTATATATATATATATATATATATATGTATTTTTGTATGTATGTATGCATGTATGTATGTATGTATGTATGTATGTATGTGTGTGTGTATGTATGTATGTATGTATGTATGTAAGTATGTATACATATATATAGATATATGTATGTATGTATGTATGCATGTATGCATGTATGCATGTATGCATGTATGCATGTATGCATGGAATGTATGTATGTATGTATGTATGTATGTATGTATGTATGTATGTATGTATGTATGTATGTATGTATGTATGTATGTATGTATGTATGTGTGTGTGTGTCCCCGATGGTGGCATGTCCCTGCTGCGTGATCTGGGGCTGGCCCGCGCGTCCTCGTTCGCTCTCTGCTCGACTCAGCGGAGCTGCTGCGCGCGTCGCCGCGACGCCCCAAAGTGCGTCCCCGAGTGTGAGCGCCTCGCCTTGATTTTGCTGGCCTTTCACACTGCTGCAGTCCGCGGCCCCTTCGCGCTGCCATCATTTATCAAGATGTTTTTTTTCGGTCGCTCCCTGCCAGTGCGAGACTGAACGCGCTCATGGCTTACATCACCTGTTGGCGCCTCCCGCCGGTCACGATGCGCCCGCGAAGCGAGGTCATGAAGAAGGACTCCGACAAGAACATGAGCCTGCAGCAGCTGATGCGGTAGCCCAGGGCCCACGCGCTTCATCTCCTTCCCCGTGTCTCCCGCTTGGCGCTATGATGCTCTCCCGGGCCTTTCATGCTCCGAGGATTCTTTCCTGGAGCACCTGCCTCTTCCAAGAATCCCAACATGGACTGCTCAGTGTTCGCTTCCCTCTTCTTCCCCTCCTTGTCTCCCCCTTTCCTTCCTGGAAAGGCTTCTCCGTTTCCGCTGCAGCATCTTCCCTCCGTGGTGTTCCCCTCCTTCCCGTTCATTTCCGTCGTCGTCCGCCTCCTTCCTGGACCCTTCTTTTATCAGTATGCGGACTAGGCGCCCACCCATGGATGTCCCTCTACGGCAATCCCAACAGCCGGTATCCTTTTCTCTAATCGCATTGTTTAGTTATCTACGTGTTCCTCCACCTGTACGTGCATCTACTTCCACCCTTGTCTCGAGCTCTGCATGTGTTCATCCACGCTTACGTCATGTCTCTTAAGTGCACCTGCGTTCACTTCTTCACATTCGTCACTTTCGGTCTCTTTCTCTCTCTCTCTTTCGCTCTCTCTCTCTCTCTCGCTCTCTCTCCCTCCTTCCCACCCATTCAAAATCCATGCCCAAGTAACTCTCTCTCTCTCTCTCTCCGATCCCTGCTGCAACCATCTTTAGCTTCGAGCTATCCTGGTGCCCAGGCCGCGCTCATAGCACCGAGGAGTGGCGGACGGTGGCGCGGGCGCGCCGCTGCTCATGTGATGCGGGTAGAATATACTCTCTCTGACTAGTTCTAATCCGGCCAACGACGTGGCTACGGGAGTGCTGGGTTCTTGTGGTCGTCTTTCCTCGCGGGAGACGTCCAGCCCTAAGGTCTACTCCATATCCAGCACGTGTACCTCACTCTCTTCGTGTGCGTCCGCATGCTTCCTCATATTGAGATTGACTGTGTGTATTCGACTCGGACACCGTGGCCCTTGCCATCCTCGCTTTCTCGGACTACTGCGTCGTACGTTCGCCGCCTACTAGGCTGCTCCTCAGATGATGGGAACACAATGCGCCAGCTAGTTGACTGGTCATGGTCCCTTGCTACGCAGCCGTCTTTGTTTTTTTTCTACTGCGGCCATTTCGTTTGCTGTGGCTATCTGCGCATCGAGTATTGGTTACAAAGGTGTATCTGAATGTAAATTCCGTGGATTGGCACTGTACACCGTCCTCTCGAGCTTCCTCATGGTGTCGGGTGTCCTGAGACTCAGATGGGCATTGCAACGCCAGTCTGGGTGCAAGCGGATACGTCATGTCTTACCTTTTGTTCCGCCCGAGTGGCAGCATGCTGTATCTGTTCCTCACGATCATTTTGTGTTCCGTATGGCACGAGCATCAGTGTTGGGGCCAATTGGTGTGTATGACGCGGTGGTCCACATCTTGGCTTCCTTCTCGGCGATTTACTGTGGGAAGACTATTCTTTCCAGGAAAGGCCTTCCTGGCGTCTGCGCCAGGGTGGCCGAGCACGTACGCTGTCTTCTGTACCCATGCAAGCCGCCAGGTGACCGTCCAAGGTATCGTGTGCTCAGGCGAAATCTGGGTTCACTCTTCTTCTTCCCTGTTGTTTTGACGTCCTCGGGATCATCGGCATTACTGCTTGAGGCTTTTGCACTACGTCAACTCGCGCCTACAGCCAATGCAGCAGACCGCTGTGAGGCTTCAGCAGTACGACTACGCAGAGGACAGGCGCTACTCTTCGGGCATAAGAAGAAAATGCCCGCGTCCTCGCCCTCCCTCATGGCGACGTTTGCGTCGTCCTGTTCATTCTTTACCCTCGATTTGGTCATCATGTTTCCCGTGTGACCCACGGCAGCGTGATGAAGCTCTTTTGCAAGATCGGCTTCCAGGTATTCTATCCGAAGAAGGTCCATATCGTGCTCTCTATATCCGCCACCAGAGGGGGATGCTCGCCTCGGAAGGCACGTGTGGCCCGATCTATTTGTTTGCTTATGACCGAGTTGGTCTATTACTAGCTTGGTTAGCATGTAATCGTCCCCATGTACGTCTTCCTCCGTGGCCAACGACCCGCCTGGCTGACATGATCTATCGGGCTGCGAACCTGGCCCTGGAGTTGTTTCGCAGCTACCACCGTGTGTATTCAGCTTCTTTGGGGTTCGATAGATGGCTATCCCAACTTCGGCTTCCAACAAGTCTACGTGTTCGCCAGATTCGTGTGCCTTCCGCTCTACGTGGCCATCGCAAGCTTGAGCTCTTTAAATCGTGTGTTCGCCGTTGCATCAGCGGCGTCAAAGTCCTGAATGCCCAGCGATGGCTCCCCCCTCGCCTGAAGCATGGTTTTGAGAAGACTCCTGTTTGGAAAGGTCATGTGGCAGCCCCTCGTTTCTTCCACGCATTCAAGGTCCATCATCTCCCACGTGTTCCTGAAGCCCCCCCTGTTCCCCCTCGCCTCCTTGATGCTGCTCCAGGGGTGTGGCTACTTCCACGGCGGCCGGCCCCGTTCACGACCTATGCCGCGTGCCGTGCGGAGCTGCGCTCGTGGGCGTCTCGCATGCGGCTACCTCAGGGCTCACTCGATCGCGGACTATCGTCGCTGACGAATTGCACAGCTCGGCTCCAAGTTCGTGTGCGCCACCCCCTCGCAGAGTGGGCTTCCTTTGAGCGCATGCTCAATCTCTCCACGGATATTCCTGATTCTTCCATTCTGATGTCGGATGACGAAGCTCATGATGTGGTTTCGCAGGCTGATGGACCTGATGCTGTTCGGTACCTGCTCCGTGCAGTGCAGGCGGGCCCGACGTGGCGCTACAGAGGTGATGTGACTGAATCCAGTCTGGCCTCATGGCTGTGAGCGCGCGCGGCGTTGGGTCTACCTCATTGGTTACGTTCAAGACGCCAGATGCCGAAGATTTTTGCCAGTGCCAACGTGCCAGTGGTTTTTCCCGCTCGTGAAGTCGAAGTGTTTGTTTTACCCAATGGTGTGAAGTGCTGTTTCAAGCCTAGCCGCTCCTGCATGGGGCGCGTGGTTGATGCGTCAAATGCACCTGGGACTAACGGCTACCGTATCCTGGGCCGAGCTGCGAGGAGTATGCTTTCACACTCGGGCATCGGCCATGAAGTGTTTGAAGTTGGCGAAGCTGTTGATCGTCTCGTTCAACTTCGAGGCTGTTCGAGCCCAGCAATTCGCTGCTCATGTTCACGGTGTGGCAGCCCCATGCGTGGGTTTACAATTCTCGCCCATGGCGCTGATCAGGCTTGCGAACAGTGCACAGCCTCTCGCGTGGGTGAAGCGTGGGCCGTCGTGGCAGAGGAGTTTGCCAACAAAGTTCCTTCTGCAGCTGCCCTCGTCAAACGTGCAAAGAAGGCATGCACCCTGCCCGCGTCATCTTCGTCCTGCCCGAGAGGTTGGTTCCGTGCCGAAGCATCTGATGTGGGGAAGGGGCTGTTGGCTTTCTGTTGGGCAAGTCTGGTATCTGTGGTGGGCCTTGTGTTTGAGCTCCAAGGGCTTCCCATCGGCGGCGTGCTCTCGGGTGTGGGCCTCAGTGCGCTCTTGGGGGCTCAGGAGTTCCAGTCGGGCTTGGATCCAGACCGCTTCACGCGTTTGGGTTTCCAGAGAATGCCTAATGCTAAGTTCGATATTGGGTTACTTCGCTTCGTCGATGACGTTATTGCGCTGAGTTCATCCTGTTGCCATTCGTGTGCAGCGTTGTTTACACGTACCACATTTTTCTGTTCCATTATCCATAGCTTCGGACCCATCCTTGGAATATTCACAGGTTACATGGCTAGATCTTCGTATTCAGAGTTCTGGTGATACTTTCATCTGGGCGCCCGAGAATCCGAACTGTGAATGGCTTTTTGATGTTTCCAAACAGCGCGAACCGAGTGCCATCATTCCGTGGCCTGGTGTTCTTCCGAGGGCCTTTGGGATGCTATGCGGGGTCCTGGCTGGTCGCCTGGCTCGCTCTCGCGCGATGCGTCTCTCCCCGTCGCTCGCCGCAGCGTGGATTCTGGAGGCAGTGCTGGAATTTTTTCTCATGGGATATCCCCTTCCTCTTCTTCGTGCCTTTATCTTTCGCTTACCGTGGTCTATTGCGGCTCAAAAGGTTCGATTTCAATTTCTGCGGTGGCAGCGACTTCAGGGCCCTCCCGACATGGGGCGAGGCCGCTCACCTGGCCGCGTCCTGGGATGAGCGCCCGCCTCTCGAGCGCGACTTCAGCAAGGGGAAGGGCAGAGGCAAAGGTTGGCAGGTGGGCCCATCTTCGAGCCTATATCTGAGTCCATGGAGTGGCAGTTCGTCGCCATGGACTCCTCCCGCGTGGCAATCCTTTGCCGCCGAGGGCGAGGCCGAGGAGTTTCGCGTGGAATCTCTTCGCCGCCAGCTTGCAGCAGCTGATCCAGAGTACGCGCAGATGATGAAGGAGCGTGATCAGGCGGCCAAGGAGCGCGACCTCCGCGCTCAGGGGCAAGCCCTTGCAGCCGCCCTCCAGTCTTCTTTCGCGGGGCACCTCAAGGGCTTGCAGACGGTCCAGAAGAGCACGGGGCACTCTGCCCCCACGGTTGGCACGCCACGTGATGAAGCTGACAGCGATGGAGGTGGCGACGTTCGTGATCGTTCTGATGGCGGTGGCCGGCGCCGTCAGAGCCGTGGTGGGGCCAGCGAGTTTCTTCTTGGGTCGGAGTGTGGTTGGGTCCAGTCGATCCTGGGCAATGAGTTCAAGGTCAAATCGTCGGACAGCAAAGAAGTGCTGATCAAGGCCGTGCTGAAGTGTATCAAGAAGAAGGACATCGTCGGGAATGTGAACAAGGTGTTCAAGAGTGCTGGTGTCAAAGTGCCAGGCGAGCCGCAGGGCAAAGCAGACATGCTCCTATCGATCAAAGGCGAGGGCAGTTGATTTCATGATCTCCAGGAGCGTTCTGAATGTACTGTTTTTTGTTGGAAGTTACTTTGCTGGTCTTCAAAACTTTGTGCAGGGGTTATCTTCGTGGTGATCATGGGTGGGGTGACTAGCATTGGGCTACAGACTTCAAGGCCTCCGACGCTGGACCGTGACAGATATTATGATGTCCTTCGTGCTTGGTGGACGTTG